ACTACCGGACTCTGGTCAACTGACAAAAAAAAGATACAATTATCTACTATTTCAGGATGCATTTTAACCATGCAAAGCCCATCAACAGTTTCGCTTTAATTTAGCTGCTACTGCAAACAATTATGGGACACTTTTACCTCTTGCTATGCAATGCATCGAAGTGTGATTTAGGCATAATATGAATGAACATTGGCTAAATGTTATTTATTTAGTAAACTATAGTTAAGCAAACTCTCTTTTAAAATAGATCCAATCTGCATTTAAATATCTTGCCCTTTCAAAGATGTAATTATTACAAGAATGTTTAGATATAAGGTATTCTTCGGCTTGCCACCATAATTGAGCCCAGAACTATGGTTGTAAGTCATGCCAGTGGTTAAGCAAGTCATCACGACTGACCCAATTTTATGGGTTTTTTTGCAACAGTCATTAAATGAATCACCCTGTCATTAAGCAAATGCCATAGTCGTTAAGCAAATGCCAGTCATTTTTGCTGAAACAGGAATGTATGTATGTATGTATGTACGTACAGTATCTGTCTGTCTGTCTGTCTGTCTGTCTGTCTGTCTGTCTGTCTGTCTGTCTGTCTATCTATCTATCTATCTATCTATCTATCTATCTATCTATCTATCTATCTGTTTCTCATCTCCCAGTTCAGACATTGAGTTGATTATATCAAATTAACAAAAAACCCAACAATTATAAATATAAAAACGGATTAAAATTACAATTAAAACAAGCTAAAAACAAGTGTTTGGAAGGGAGAGGCAGGCTGCCTTCTGTGTTAGTGTACGATCACCTTCAGCCAGCAGCTTTTCCTAAGGACCCCATGCCAGTCGGTAAAGCCAGGTTTTAAGGCTTTTTCTGAAGGCTGAAGATTTCTGGAAAAAAACTACTGTAAATTGTGGTCAGGTGGCCACGGGATGCTATAAATGGACTGCTGCCAAGAACCCAAAATGCAATCACAAAACTGGGGGGATGGCAGCCACTGGAACTTCAAATCCTGGTCATAAGTACCGTTTGTTTGATAAGCAGATGCTAAGCAACTAGTCATAAGTCAACTGTAGACTGAAACAAGTAATTTTGCCTTGGTCATTGGATATCAGCAAGGTTACTTGATTAATCCAATTTTTACTCTCCTTTTAAATTTCAATTTTATTTGTGTTATTATGGATGATTAGGGGACTGGAGACTAAAACATATGAAGAATGGGTATAGGAACTGGGCAGGCTAGTCTAGTGAAGAGAAAGACCAGGGGAGACATGATAGCAGTGTTCCAATATTTGAGGGGCTGCCACAGAGAGGAGGGGGTCAAGCTATTTTCCAAAGCACTTGAAGGCCAGACAAGGAATAATGGATGGAAACTGACGAAGGGGAGATTCAACCTAGAAATGAGGAGGAACTTTCTGACAGTGAGAATAATCAACCAATGGAACAGCTTGCCTTCGGAAGTTGTGGGAGCTTCATCACTTAAGACTTTCAAGAAAAGATTGGACTGCCATTTGTCAGAAATTGTGTAGGATCTCTTGCTTGAAGAGGGGGTTGGACTAGATGACCTACAAGGTCCCTTCCAACTCTGTTAATCTGATCGATCAATCAATCTATCTATTTATCCTGTTCCCCCAAAATAAGACATCCCCTGATAATAAGCCCAATCAGGCTTTTGAACATGTGGGAAATAAGGCCAAGTGCTTATTTCAGGATTCAAAAAAAATATAAGACAGGGTCTTATTTTCGGGGAAACATGGTGTTTTTGTTTGTTTGTTTGTTTATTTGCATCATATATAGCATTTGAGACCCAATTTTGGGAAGTGGTTAAAGGTACCGAGCAAGTTACCAGGAGACTGTGAGTGTTAATCCTGCCTTAGGCCTAAAGTGAGCCAGATGACCTTGACTAATCGCTTCTTGAAAACCCCAAGTAGAAGGCAAGGGCAAATCACTTCCAAAAATATTGACAAGAAAATTACATGGATTTGTCCTAGTAATCACTAGGAATTGAGACTGGTCTGAAGGAACGACAACAACAACAACAAAATACACTGTAAATTGCTAACTTAGATCATATAGTTCTTTTTAATTTGATACTTACAGTCTTTTATTTATGCTATTATTATATAACTACCATTATTACTTTTATTCTTTAATAAGGCAAAAGCACACACACACTTTCAAGCCCCCTCGGTACCTGGAAGTTAAACCTGGAGGAATTCCACTGACATCCTTGTATATAAGAGGATAAAGAAATACTATGTGCATATCAGACCTTAATAGCACATTTTGGAATGCAAGTCTCCATTTAATGCCACAAGCACTGGGCAGCCCAAATACCATTCTGGGTATGGCATAAGGGTTCCTGGCCCAATGCAATTAAAAGACCATTCCTCTATCCCGAGAAAGATGCAAAATCATGGAATCAAGTTGTATAAGAAGCCAGAAATGGAAAAGAGCAAGCAGACTTCAACAACCTCTTGCCATTGTGTTACATCTCTGCTCTAGTGGCTGAGAATGTGCTGAAGGCTCATGGGATTGGTCAGTACAGCTGGAGGAACCGAGACCAATAAATCCTGAATAAACATTGTTTCCTTTGCTCATTCCCCTCCTTCAATACTAGATTTTCCCGGCTGGCTCAAATAAATGTGTGAGTCAAGCAGCAGTATCAGTGATCTTGATACATTGGTTTCTCAGCCTACAGAGATTACGACAGCTTGATAAACTAACTGATCTGCAAACCACGTCCAATCTTGCTTTGGTTGTAATGGGTGACTGTCTGCAACTGTCACTGCCCCAGTGAGAACCGTTCCAGAGCTTCGAGCGCCATGGGAAAACTGACGTAGCTTCCTCAAATCTGGCTATATGAAGTTGGGGTTTTTTTTTTGCTTTTTGGGGATCTCTCTGCTTTAGTTGTCTGTATCCTGAGTATTGCCTAAGTAAATAAGACACACAAGGAAGGAAGGTCCAGAGCAGGGGTGAAATGCTCCCGGTTCGGACTGGATCGCCCAATCCGGTAGTGATGGAGGCGGGTGGTTCGGAGAACCGGTAGCAAAAATCCCTGCCCCCCCCTTCCCAGCTGAGCCGCACAATCATCAGAGGCTTTTTTTTCTTTTAAAAGCATTTTTTCTACAACCTCTTCAGCCGAAAAAATGCTTTTAAAAGTAAAAAAAAAAAAGGCTCTGATGATCGTGCGGCTCAGCTGGGATCGTCAGAGGCTTTTAAAAGAAAAAAACCCTTTTTTCTTTTAAATGCCTCTGACGATTCAAGCTAAGTTGCCTGATTGGCAGAGACTTTTTTTCTTTTAAATGCCTCTGATGATTAGGCAACTCAGCTTGGATCGTCAGAGGCATTTAAAAGAAAAAAGTCTCTGCCAATCAGGCAACTCAGCTGGGATCGTCAGAGCCTTTTGAAAGCATTTTTTTACAACCTCAGAAAAAATGGTTTTAAAAGTTTTTTTTAAAAAATTGGCCATACCCACCCAGTCACATTACCCCCACCACAAAGCCACGCCCAGAGAACCGGTAGTAACAAATTTTAGATTTCATCACTGGTCCAGAGCTTGTCTGGTCAAGCAATTTCAAAATACAGAATGTTCAGCTAAGACTTCGTTTTGGATCAGGATACACTAATATAAGGCGGTAGATTTGTCACAATGCTTGCCCACAGACAAAAGGGCTCAGCTGCACATTTGAAATCCAAAGCTGGTCCTAGGATCAAATGACACTTTTTTAAAAAAAAATCTCAAAGGAAAACATTGTCATGGGAGAAAACACAAAATATCCGTGCTACCATTTAGCAAGGAAGAATTTAGGGAGAAAGAGATTTTACCTACTCAGCTCTTTCAAGATGGGAAGGGGGGTCATATATAATTGCATATAATGAAAAGGGGGTCACCAAAAGCCTGGTGACTAGAGTACATCATTTGCAGTCAGACACTGATTACATCCAGCTTTTCAAGGATTGACTATTCCCAAGGGAGCAGAAGAAGAGGAAAGATACAAGAGACAACAGGAGAACATTCCCAATCAGGGGTGAAATCCAGCAGGTTCTGACAGGTTCTGGAGAACTGGTAGTGGAAATTTTGAGCAGTTTGGAGAACTGGTAGAGAAAATTTTGAGTAGTTCAGAGAACTGGCAAATACACTTCTGGCTGGCCCCAGAGTGGGGTAGGACTGGAGATTTTGCAGTATCCTTCCCCTGCCACATCCACTAAGCTATGCCTACCAAGCCACGTCCACAGCACCGGTAGTAAAAAGATTTGGATTTCACCACTGTTCCCAATCCTATGTAAGACAAAGCAGGCAATTGCTTTTCTTTGCAAAAGGCATGCATAATACAGTGCTTTGTTTGTACTCAACCACTGCTTATGTGACACCATCCAAATATTAGCAGAAGGAAACTAGATTCTTCAAGCAGGATGTTTTTTTTCCAAGAGGACAATCCTTTAGCACAACCAAGGTAAGATGGTCATTGGCATCATAGTGCTAGTTACGTAGCGGGACAAACAGTACCAGGCAGAAATTCCTTCAATATCTTTCTCAAAAAATATTGTATTTAAAACCTGGTAGAAACCCTGATTATCTTGCTTGTTTAACCTTTATTTGCTGTAGATATTGTTCCTCCCCAATGCTGTTTCTTAAGTTAGTTCCTCCCTACTCTTCGTCTACTGTTTTTTTTAAAGACACTTTTCACCTTGTACCTTTAGATATTCTTCTTCTGGAATAACTTCTTGCAGAGTATTCTCATTTTTCCTTACCATAATTTGGGGGGGGTGGTTGTTTTTTTTTTTTTGCAGCCAAAAATAGTTTTTACTATTAGTTTAACAAAGCAGCACAATGAACATTCAGTATGAAAAGACAGTATTGTGAACCTTCTTCCAATATATATAAATGTCGATTTTATCCATCAGATTGCTTGAAATTGCTGTAGCTAGTTCACCCACAATTTTTAAGACTAGTTGTGAACACAAGGTAAACCAATCTGTTTATTTTGCAAAATGTTTCCACTTACACCACCCATTGTAATTCCATCGATAAGTGCCACATAAGGTTTCTTGCAGGTGCCTGTCAAAAATTATAGAATACGTTATCCTACTTAAGATATTAGAATGCACACTTATCTAAGGAAATACATCTTTATAATGGGAATAAAATATTCAAAGGGGTAAATTAAAAAAATTCAATCCTTTTTTTCATTGTTAAGAGCATTTTTAAATATATTTTTATGTTTAGGATACTGGGTTTTCCCCCCTATTCTTAATGTTGTTTTGGGAGGAAAAACCAGCTGTTCATTTAACCTGATTACAATAGTCACCTTGTAAAACATAGCAGAGGTAAAAACAGGCCAGAACAGAAAAAAAGAAGCTGGCGATACTCAAATTAATAATTAGATTAATATGGATAAGGATAGGGATAGCACACAAGAAACGGTTATTTGTTCATTGTCAAAAGAACAACATATTAAATGTTAGATAGGTCTCAATAAGGAGGGCATTGTGTAGTCAGAGTTTTACATTTTAAATCTGGAGACACTGTTCTTAGAATAACTTAAAAATTAAGAAAAAGCAAACAAGTTAAAAAGGAAATTGATTTAAATATTCCACCTTTAATGTTTTTGTTAGCTTTACTTATATAGTATGCAATGTAAACAGGAAATGGGGACACTCCTAGGAGGAATTGCAAATAAATATTACTAAGCATATATTCAAATAATATAAATTTTGCATATAAGGCAGGGGTGAAATCCAGCAGGTTCTGACAGGTTCTGGAGAACCGGTAGCGGAAATTTTGAGTAGTCTGGAGAACCGGCAAATACCACCTCTGGCTGGTCCCAGAGTGGGGTGGGAATGGAGATTTTACAATATCCTTTCCCCAGGAGTGGGGAGGGAATGGGGATTTTGCAGTATCCTTCCCCTGCCATGCCCACCAAGTCACGCCCACCAAGCCACACCACGCCCACCAAGCCACACCCACAGAACTGGTAGTAAAAAAAAAATGATTTCACCACTGACATAAGGGGTTATAGCACTCACTCTTTATCTTTTGGGATGTGACATTAAAATGATCTAAGAAAATAACTGTCCTAATTTTAAAAACCTTTCATAAAGTTTCATTCTCCTCTGCTGCTGTGCTTCTTTAAATGAATAGCTTTCACTCCTAAACATGGAAAAGACTTCCCCATCAAAGATACCAAGCAGAACAGACTTTATTGGCTTACACAATAAATATCTATTATCCTAAAACAGAATTTTCATTGCAGAGGTCAAAAGACGTTATTAAGGGGATACTATAAAAAGTACACATACCAGTGGCATTATTCAACATGTATTCTTCTCTAAATAAATCTTTTGTTAATCTATCTCCATGTTTTCCTGCTTCACTAATAGCTGAAAAAACAAAACAAGTGTCAAAGTTAATGATGACAACATTTTACATCCCAAAATATTCCTCATTTTTTCTTTCCTTCTGGCTTCCACAACTCCTTTCACAAGAATTAGCAAATTCTGTTAACTATGGTGAGCTAGGATAGAGAGTGGATCACCCAAAATCAAATAAGGCCTGAGGAAATGGCTCCCTATGAGATCCTCTCAGGTTCAAAGATAAGAAGTTCATGTCAATAGGCCATCCTGGCATTAGCACTCAATGGGTGGGTAGGACGACATTTCCTTGGATTCAAAATCAAGGACATAGCCCTGAACTTTGTAAAAAAAAAATGTTCACATTCTCACCTTTTATATCGCCCCCAGCACAGAACACTTTTTCACCAGCTCCTTTTATTAATATTAAGAAAGTTTCAGGATCCTGCTCCCACTTCTGAAAGAAACAATGGGAAAGACTATGTCAGAGCATTAGATGTTTTAAATGTGCTGTCTCTTTTCTTTGAAATTATGCAACACATGTAAAAGTCACCTAGATCAGGGTTGGATTGTCCAGAAAAAATAGAAAGTCAAAGCGTTGGAACTGTTTGTAGCAGGCCTGAGGAACATTGTCTATTGTCAGCCTCAGTCAAATAGACCAGCCCAGGAAATCAACTCCACAGGAAGGCTAAAACTACTGGCTATAATAACAGAATCTTACAAGAATGATTGTGATGTACCAACTCCCACTTTCTATCGTCCAGTAAAGCAGAAAGGTATCTATTTGATCCTACCAAATTTTATCTCAATTCTCAGTCTTAAAAGAAAATTTCAGTCCCTTTTGCCTGGGTAATTGTTCCTGCATATTTCCATCATGAGCATCCTGACTCTATACCCCACCCCTTGGATTCCCAACCACTGCATTTGCAGGATGAGAAACTGTAATTCAGCAATGTATGGAATTCACAATTTTCTACCCTATTATGCAGTCCTACTAATGCCTTTTTGAAAGTTGGTCAAATCTACCCATACGCCCAGATAAAAATGTGTAAGGATAAAGTTCAGGAATAGAGTGTATCAAGCTGAAACCTTATAAATACTGCAGTTCTACTTATTGAATGATGGCCAAGGAGAGGCAAGGCTACCCTTTTCTTTTGCTGCCCCCACCCTTTAGAACACCACCCCATTTAAGATTAGATTGGGACTGACCCCATACAACTTTTGGAAAGCCCTTAAGACTTCTTCTGTTCTTCTGGGCATGGGGATCAGGAGATGAGTTGTGCCCCTGATTTAATTACTGTTGGATGATTTGTTCTTAGTTGCAATTTTTCCTTTTCTTTGATTCCCTTATTTTATATGTTTCTTATTTCTGTTGTTTATTTTGTTGTTTGGAAGTGTGTTACTCACCAATAGCATTTTGCAAGATGAGCAACCATATCAAATTAAGTAACACAGAGGATTGAGAGAAGTTTTTTTCTTATTAGAATATCCATGAAAGAGGCTGGGAATATTAGCACATTAGACCCCCATCTCTCTTCACCTTCTTTCCACTATACAAGCCAGCATGCAAGAGGTACACATCATCATGATAGTTACATCCCTTCTTCAAAAAAAAAAAAAAAAGCTGGTAAGAAAGAGAACCCACTACGAAGGCCCAAACAGAGCTTTGCTCTGAACAGAGCATCTACACAAACAAAGAGAAATGCATGGTTTCCATTTCTCCCCATCTCATGGACTCATTTTTTTCTGAAGAGAGCAGAGTAGGATACCAAAGGAGGAACATGAAGATGCTCTTGCAGTCAATGTATTTTATCACAAGGCTTGTGACATCATTACTATATTCTCAAGCCATGCCATGAATGTCCCACTGAAGACCTGTGTCACAAACAGAACCTTCAACTCTCTTCGAAGCAATGCTTCTCAACAGAATCTATTTATACTTTTAGTGGCAAAATGTACTGAGAAATCAATGTCAATGTGACTAGAAGTGCCATCTTTGTTTAGCTAGTCTCATATGTCTTCTGTCAACCCATTCATCAATTGATTTATAGATAGATCTCAACTTACAATTCATTTAGTGACCATCAAAGTTACAATGACACTGAAAAAAGTGACTTATGACAGTTTTTCACATTGCTATCCTTTGTAACATCCCCATGATCATGTGATCAAAATTCAGATGATTGGCAACTGACTCATACTTATGATTGTTGCTGTGTCCCAAGGTCATGTTGTGACCATCTGACAAGCAAAGTCAATGGGGAAGCCAGATTCACTTAACAACCGTGTTACTAGCTTATCAACTGCAGTGATTCACTTAACCACTATGGCATGAAAGGTTGTAAATTGGGGCAAAATTCACTTAACAAATGTCTCACTTAACAACATAAATTTTGGGCTCAATTGTGGCCGTAAGTCAAGGACTACCTGTATTTAAAACATTTTAGTACTGTGATAACCTTGGCCACCAACCTTTAACTGGGGATAGATCTGTCGAATCATGGAAAGAGTAAGTGCATTCAGAGCTTTTGGTCTGTTCATGGTAATAATGCCAGCACACCCTCTTTTTTCCAACAGAACCTCAGCTGAAGGATCCTTAGTCATACTCTGTATGGAATGACAAAGATTTTAATTAAGCTGATGCTCCAATGACAGATTGGTTGGCAATTCTGCAGAAGATCTTAAAAACATAATTAGTACATACTAAAAATGGCTATTTTTAAGACAAGTACTTTGAGCAGAAATCTACAAAAGTACCCAATACTGACTATAAGAACATCCACCAATTTTGAACCGAATACTCCAGACATACAACTCTTTCTTACATTCCTTAAAACACTTTTGGGTTAACCCTTGTTCTTAATTCTCTCATTCTTACACTGTCAAATATACCCAACCTATTACAGAATTGAATTTTATCTAAGAAGTTCCACAGTTAGTAAGTTTATAAGCCAAGGTGAAATCACTAGGAACCTGTTTTATAGAACTGTTCATTATGCTTTATGCATTTGGCTTGAATAAGATTAAATTGTTACTTTTATATTTTAAAGAAAGCCATATTATTTAACTATCTGATGTTCTTCAGATTTTACCCTTATCCCATCTTGAAACAAAAGATTATCAGATGATAGTTTTGTCAGAAACTTCCTTCGTTTTCAAAAGTATTTTTCCTTTTGCCTTGAGAGATAGCTATTTAAAAAACACAAATCAACAAACTCTCATTGGGACTGAGGAATTAGTCTGTGCATTCTGGCTATTGTGTTTTAAACAAATATTTATTCACCCAACTTCCATACTTACTAAGTGTCGTAGTGTGATTTGCAACCTGTTGAATGGCTTCAACCTGAAACAAGAAACTCAAGGTCAGACATTTTTCTGCCACAGCAAATGTAAATACATAAAGCAAACTATGTATTTTTGTTAGACTTGTTTTTAGACATCTCTTTCATTCCACTGCATATTTCTCAAAATGATACATCCATTTAATGTACTTACAATTTTTTTCAATATACAGTACAAAGATTATTTCCCTCTATTGCTCTAATACAAACAATACATAACTTCAAGAATACTGGCCAGACATATGGAACTTTACATGACTTTGGTACATTTTTCTCATAATGCTCTTTCTTCCACTGTTTCCTCCAAAACACTCTAGGATCTGGGACTGAATAGATGGACATAAAACATGTGGGAAATATATTTGTACTAATTAATAAAGTCCATCCTTTGTTTTTAATTTTAGATTTCTTTTATCCTGTCTTTATTATTTTTATTATTTTATATCAGGGGTAAGCTGTTTGGAAATTAGGATAGAGAATCGAGCTTTGCATATACATATGCAAATGATATTTTTGATTGTTTATTTTGTAGCAGAAAATTAACTGTCACTGCCCTTGGATGCAGGGCAAGCTCCAAATCACTGCTTAATCCTGCAGCGCAAATTCGGTTGATAAATCAAAATGTTTGCCCTTAAGAGTTCAAGCTTGCTTATAACTAGGAATACCGATTCAGGCTTTTATTATCATGTGCAGTGCAGTGCCATGCCTGAGAAGATTTTCACTGTTTTGGTGCTGATCAATCAGGATGACAGCGAAGTATTTTTTGCTCGCTTGCAGCGAGTTGCCTATCTATGAGAGAGGGAGCAGCAGCAGCAGCTGTAGTCTACGCTGGGACGCCCAGCTGCCACCATCTCTCCGGGGTTTCATGTGTTGAGATACACGCAACATGCGAACTGGTCTTATTCAAAACGAAAGAGTTCCACTATCAGAACTCCGAACTCGGTGGGACTTTTCAGTCAATCCCCGGGGAGAGCGGGACCGCTCAGAGCAAGCGGTGGACAGGAGGGCTGCGCTGGGCACTCTTTCAATCCCCCTGCCCCATCCTACTCAGGTGGTCGAAACTGAAGGCAGCCTTCTGAAGGTCGTCGGAATCTACCTGGGAAGACAGTTCCGCATCACAGGGGTCACCAGCAACCACATCACGCCAGCGTCTGCTCACGCCCCCTCCCCGCCCTAGCAAGGAGCCGCCGAGAAGGCGCACCCTGATGACATCATTCAAGCGCGCTGAAAGCGGAGCGCCCGCTGCCGCCTAGCACGTGTACGGAGGCTACTAGAAGCGAAGCGAATAGTGGGGAATGATTTCGTAGTCTGGGTCAGAAATACCTGGATTTGGATTAATTCTCCTGGCGCAGAATTAATCAATTAATTAATTCTGCGCCAGGAGAATTATTAATTGTTATTAATTAATTTAAACACTTTAATTGTTATTAATTTGTTAATTGTTAATTTAACAATTACTAAATTAACAATAAAGAATTAATTAATTAATTCTGCTGGCGCAGAAGTCTCTCACTAAGGATAACTTTGTCATGCACTCCACGTTTCACGTTAAGAATGGAGTACAAGAGGCACCCAACGATTATATTATGGCCCTAATATAATTATATAATATAAATAATAATAAATATTAAAACAACCATGGCCATACGGCGGTGACAGCTCTGAGTTTACAACTAAACATATCCCTCCCCTGTTAGTTACTCATCGGTGTTTTTAGCGGTTCAAATAATGCATTTCAGGAATGGACATTTCTTCAACTCCTAGCCATCACTGTCTCAGTCTTAAGAGAAAAGCAAAGGCAAGGGTAAACCACTTCCTAAAAACTACCCCACCCCCACCCCTACCCCCAAAAAACCCAGCCCCTGTAGAAATTGATACGTAAGCAATTTCCAAGGGTCAATACTGACTCAAAGAGACTAAAAAGAAATTTATTTGGCGGAGGAAATAAAGGGCAGCTGGTAGGGTCAGGTCACCGATATATCCGATAGAAATCTGGATCTTGCCCATATTCCCCAGTGTTGCTTTTCCTGATCTGGAGAGACCCGTGCTATAAAGTTCTTCGCGCCCAAAAGGGGGAGTTCCTAAAACCTCAGATGGGGAGCGTTGCTTTGCTCTCGATTTTTGTGAATGAAATTACTTGGAAATACTTTTCAGAGTTCCCTTTCAAAGAGCGCTGGATTGCCGTATACGGCGACTCCTGGTGGTAATTGAAGCAACTGCACTAACCCGAATTCTTTTCTCTTCCTCCCGCTGCAAACGCCACTTTTTTCAGCTACCAAGGTTCGTGCGCTTGGCCGCTGATGTTCCCGTCGTGTGACAATTGCCAATTTTAATACGGTATGTAATAAAAAATAATCTAGAGTTGAATCATGTCTGTTGTAGTTGCTAGTCACTCCACTTTCAGTGCCTTGAAGACAAAACAACAACAACAACAAAAAAAAAAAAACACCACAGATTTTTTTACTGTCTTTTCCAGGGAAAGCTGTTGTTTTCTACTCCCTACAATTATGCAACTGACAAAGCTAGCCTGTCTGTGGCGATTCAGATGTTGGAAATAGGAGTGTGGAAATTCAGGTTTACCCTCAGCTATGGATGGATATTTTTAAAAAAAGCAAAACTCTGAGCAACAAATCTGATCATGAATTGAATATGTTTGTATTGTTGTACTTAATGTAAAAATAAGGATAATACAATTTTAATAACCAGGTGAGAAGAATGAAAACAATTGTATATTACCTGTTTTAATTTTCAGTTATCTGATAATGCTGAAGTTGAGATATAGTTTCTTACAATTGGTCTGAGTAATGTTTAATTAAAGATAACAAAGAAGACTGTAATATGAAGATTTGATAATGAGTGATAGTATGAAACTGTTATCCATGGACATATATAAAGAAAATCAGGAATAGTGCATTAGGATTTTTTGTGTATGTACTTTGTGACATGCTGTCAAAAGTGATTAGAATTATTTTTTTAAGTTTGGGAGGCAGCATCAAATAATATTAAAAGAAATCTAAAATGTTATTCATAATAATTAAATTAAAAGTATTGTATGCACTTTTGTCTTCATCAAAAACAACCATATTCATCAATATTTTACTTGGATTAGAAGCTATGTTAAAAAACTCAAAATTTAAAAATTCAATTCAAAATTACTGTTCTCATGGTTGATGAACCGGGAAGACCATTATGACATAAGACTGTCCATTGTGACATCATATCCCTACTAACTGGTTCTCATGTCAAGTAGGTACAGTAATAGTGTTCACAGGAAAAAGAACACAATTCCTTATCTCCTATTTCAATGGTTTTTACCCACAGCTCTGTTGAATGAGTGTGTAAGACAAAGAATCAGTAATATATAAGAAGAAAATAAAACAGTTAAACATGTAAGTAAGATTTCTCATTATCTAAGATGGTCTGATGAACTTATTACAAATCAATTTTAATTATTCTTCACCTTCAACTACCGTATATGTACCAGAACTGAGCTCATACAAAAACTCATTCCATTTTCCTTCATACAACAATATTTCTCTTTATTTTTCTAACACACACATATAGTTAACACTGGGATGGGGAAAATTGAGTATTCTCTGTATTTGTTATAACTGCTTTTCTCTATGACCATTTGATTGATGTACAACAAGCCTGTTCTCTTAAAAATATGGTGGGACCATCTTAAAGCAATCTTTCTGCTAACAATAATGATGCAATATTTATTGTTCATATGGATGTACATATGGGGATTTCTTACCATTTTTTCCTACTAGGTTTTTGGCAAAACAATACTAGTGTTATGAGATACTATGGGAAGTAGCTTTATTTTTCACTATAACATCAAATAAAATATTCTAAGCAATCTGAATACCTTAATCTAACATTCTTTGAAATGTACCCTTGGGCCAAGGTATCTTGCAGGACTGGATTGGAAAGCTAGGTTTAATTGCTACAAAAAGTAGCAATTATGATATTTCACTAGTGACCTAATTTAGGGAATCTGAATCCAATCTAGTTCTAGTAAATAGGGTGGTCATGTTGTTAGTATCTGTCACATTCTTGTTGTCATATAACACTACAAGAAGTTCCATTTGATGTCAAGCTCAAGACTGTAATATGGGTAAGGGAAAAATAATTGGAAAATCACATATACACTCTCCCTCATATTTTTTAATGTTTTTTTAAAAAATATTTTTATTGTTTTTAATGTTTTTTAAATTATTATTTAAAAATAATCATTATAAATTATAAATATTTACTTACCAATAAATATGAAGTTGATGTATGGTCATATAAGATTTTCTTACTGTATTTAATCTCCAAAACAATACAAGAATGAAATTATTGTCTTAGTCTTCAATCTGAGGGGGAATCTCACTGTGTTATGTCTGCTTTAAGGGTCAAGGAATAATAAAGACATTGATTATAGCCATATTAAGGAATTTTTCCCCTGGCGATCATTAATAATGAAGTCCACCAACTCCCTCCCTTTTGAAGCCCAAATTGTATTTCTTTGATACCAGAAGTTGCAATATCAAACCTCCCAAGATGGAGATGGAAATTCCATATTTATGCAAATCAGAATAACATGTAATCCACAAGGGCAGAGGTGGTAAACTAATGAAGGTGGGACTAAGAGACAGATTTTTTAAGAATACAAGAGAGTGTGGATTAGAATAATGATTTTTGACTGGTGTTTCTTTTGTTTCCCTTACTTCCCCATAGCTCATCTCCAAATAGCTTCATTTCCAAATATCCCTTCTCCTTGTTATCAACATTCCTTTGCCTTCTAAGCATTTTAGGGCATTTTTATTGATTCTCTAATGGATCTGGGGAGCAGGTGTATAACTATTTAGCCTACCTAGCATCATTTGTCATTTTCAGCTTATCAGTTCCTAAAATAAAAAAAAAAAACCCAGACAAGACAGACAGAAATATTAGTGATTGGCTTCTCATATGAGATTCAATATTTGCAAATTAGATTTTCCCCCCCAATGAATTAGAATCTGTGAATGTTGTGCAACGCTAGACTTTAGTGCTTTCTACTTTTATTTATATATTTCATGTAACTGATTCAATTTGGCAATCGAAGATAAATAACCTCTAGCTGAATTTGGTTGATTTCTAAAGGTATGAAAGGCTGCCTCCACCATTATTACTTAGATCAGGGATGTCAAACTCAAGGTCCGGGGGACGGATCTGGCCCACGGGGTGCTTAGATCTGGCCCGGGGGGCCACCCTGGAAACAGCAAAGGCCCATGGTGCCTCTTCCAGTGAAAACGGAGCTCACCAGCCCGTTTTCGCTGGTAGAGTGCTTGGGCCACCACAGGTGCCCCTGATATGAGTGACGTTGAACTGGCCACGCCTACCCTGGCCACACCCACTCCTGCCCCCTGAGGTCAAACACAACCCTGATGCAGTCAAATTGAGTTTGACACCCCTGACTTAGATGAAGGAATCTCCTAAAGACTCCAGATCTAAACTGCAGGCTTAACCTGAAAGCATCTTTAACCTCTCTTATTTGCCCAATAACTACACTATTGTCTCTACTTTCCTTACACCTGTAAATCCAGAAACAACTATTTTTATGTGGCAGCCGCTATAATGTATGTCAATTTAAAGATGTAGAAATATGCCCATACATTTCTCCTTCTCTCTTCAAGAGTCAACTTGAGTTGTGGCCTTTTGGCCAATTTCTGCCTATAACTTGCCTTGTAAAATCATAACCTATCTTTCATTATATCATTAACAGGGCTAATGTCAATATGAAAGCACTATCCACCTAGATTTTTCACTTGTAACCAGTTGTGCTTGCTGAGACATACCATCTGTTTTTAGTTCTCTTCCAAAGAATATTTTATATTGTAACAGCTGCTCTGAACATCCTACCAGTCACAGAGAAGGAAAAATAGCCACCCTTGCATCGTGGATTCTACTAGTTCCTTCCTATTAGTTTAGTTTATGCAGATCCTGCACATGTATATTTTGAACAAAGACGATCAAAAATAATGCAAACCAATTGGCCAACAGAACCATCTGTACTTCCTCTTTTATAGCCTGTATGTATTGTCACCAATTATTGAAAAGGGTGTGGAAAAAAGTATACGGAACAAGGTAACTCTTTTCACAGCAAAACTCAAAACGTATTTATTCAGTTTCAAATTATACCTAAGATTACAGTATTTCATGTTTACTCTGAAGTCCC